CCCCACTCTCCCCCCCCCGCCGAGACCCCCCCCCCCCCCCCAACCCTACGACCACAGGAGCACGCCGGCCAAGGACAGGCCTGTGCCCAAAAACGCGCCCGTCTGCACCATGAAGGCCGACAATGCGAACCACTGGTACGCTGCGTCGCCCCCGTCGCCTCCGATCCTCCCCGCCTTCCGGGCCCGCGCCGCTTCCTCCTGACGCCGCCGGTCGAAAAAAGTGGATATGGACGTGAAAGAGAACATGAAGCTGAACATGGTGTTGGCCACCACCACCAGCACTCCGCCGTACGGGCGAAGGGCCAGGGGGGGCGCGGACCCACTGAAGGCGCAGTACAAGAGCAAGACAGCAAGGCAGATGGTTGCTGCCCCGGACATGAAGATTCGGCCCGTGGGAAGAAAGCTCGTGGCCAGCTTTCCCAGGGGGTCCGCGCACATGAAGCCTCCATTGGCTAACAGCAGGACCCGCGAGGGGTTTTGGTAGCCCGTGCAGGCCATGGGGAGGGTGGAAGGGACGACGCCGTAGGCGAGGGCGGAGAGGAGACATTGCAAGCCGAACACCGCCACGTGGGAGTCTCGGACAGAGGGGAGGGAAGATGGAGGGGGGGAGGCGTAGGGAAGGGAGGAGGAAGGGTCCGCGGGCGCCTCCAGCGGGTCTCCCGAGTCGACCCCACGGGGGATGAGGGGGTGGCGGTCGCCGTCAGGCCGCTCTCCCGACTCCTCCAGACTCCGGTCGGCCAGAGTCCCGTACTGCCGCGGCCCATGCGCCTCCTCGATGCCGGCCGCAGGCTCGGCGTCCCGGGCTTCTTCCCGCTCCTCTTGGACGGAGGCGTGCACGCGCCGGCTCACGAAGCCGAAAGCCGCCATGCCGACGAGGAGGACGAGGGAGAGGAGGTTGAAGTAGTGCCCCGGGGAGAGGCGGGGATGGAGGGAGCCGGCGTCCGCCGCCAGGGTGAGGAGGGCGATTGCCAGGCCACTGAGCCCCGCCCCGGCCGTGTGGGTGGAGGTGTAGCTCTTGGGGAGTGTGGCCAGGTAGGGCGTGAAGACCACGCCCGTGCTGCTGCAGACGGCGCCGGTGAAAAAGGCGAGGACGAGGAGGCCGGCGCTATGGGGTACGCCCTGGATAGGGACTTGGGCCCGCCAGTAGCGCGGGAGAAGGAGGGAGACGACAAGCCCCGAGGCGAGGAGGATCCAAATGTCGATCTGGATGGAAAGAGGGGCAACCACGATGGTAGGTGTGGAGAGGTGTCAATCGTCTGGAGGGAGGGAGCAAGCAGCTCAAGAGGAGGAGAGAAGGGATTAGAATCTGGTGCGTGGGCTTGATTTGGAGGTTTGGAAGCTCGAGTCGTACCTCTTGTGATCGACGGGAGTTGCTAAAGTGGCGCTTTTTGTACATGAAGAGCAAGGGGAAGATGTAGGCGAGCTGCTCTGCCGTCAAAATAAGCACACCCAGCTTGTTTCCCTTCCAGAGAAATGGAACGTACGGACAAGAGGGCCAGAAATATCCAGTCAGGATAAGGCACAAGCAAAGTCATGATCCTCGTCGCCCTGGGACAGACGCCTGAGTGGCTCGCGACAACTTACCTCCGGCAGGGTCCGCACAAACATCGGCAGCTGGCCCCATAGACCTGCTCCCGGCACAGAAGGGGCAGAGACTTAGTGAGAACGTGTTCATGCGAGCAGAATGTGCGGAACAGGGGGCAGTAACATACAGAATACACTTGGCCGAATGCGGGGAGGTCTCGAGCCTGGGATCGTGTACGCGTGGCCATGCCATTCCTTCCCTCTACCGGGCTTTCAGCTCACTTCCCACACCACGCACGCATCCGTCCCCGAATACATACCGTTAAATAAAATCCATGAGGACAATCCCCAGGCCGCAAGGGCCAAGTGAATGATCTGAACCCTTACAATTTCTCTCCCTGAATCCAGGTCGCGTAGGGGCTTGTGTTCCGCTTGCATTGGCCCAAGGGGAAAGGCCTGCGCGCGTATCGAAATACATGTGTGTGTGAGGCTCTGACGACGGTTTAAATGCTCAGTTAAACCCTTTCTTATCGCCTTTGTTCAAGACGCATGGAGGGGCTGCAGGAAAAAGTGCCATGTGTTGACTAGGAATCGTGCGTGCCAATGCTGACATGAGAATGCCGCTACGTCTTAATGAAGACAAGGTGTAAAAATTGGAACGATTTCGGTGCCTGCTTTCTGTCATGTCTTTCATCCCAATAGAATGGTGTGCTAGGACGTCCTCTGCAACGTTTAAAAATATTGCTGTGCTACACCGAAGCCTGAATGTTGGCAGCCGCGGTGGTTAGAGCGAGGTAATCCCTCGGTGCGAGGGGAAAAGGCGAGACAACACGGAGGCAAGCGGAGGCGATAACTGCGACGTGCAGACAGTTAATCCCCCTCCGCGGTGCCTTGTGCTTGTGAAATGGAGGAAATGCTCTCAGTTTGTCCAGCACGTGCAAAAAATGTTTTTAAGTAGTGGTTTTTCTGGTATTGGAAATGAAGGGAGAGGGAGGGCTGCTGCCTGAATAGGAGGGCGATGCCATGCATGCGAGCCCTCCTTTGTACCTAATGTTTTGCTTTGAGTGACACTGCGAAATCCATTGGCTTTGATTTATGTCTACAGCAACATGTACAAGAGAAACATGCTAGGAACCTTGGCCTCTGATTGTTTGTTGCACCAACCCCTGCCAACCTCCCCCCATCCTTCCTCCGGCAGCCTCATGTTCTCCTCCGACTTCTTCGGCACGGACTTCACGAAGAACCCGCTGGGAGCCAACAAGCCTTCCTTATGTCACGAGCATGCAGTCGAACCTACTCCCATAAAGGCGCATGCCGAGCGGAGCTATCCTTTCGTTCTCCTCCAGTTCCGCCCAGCTTTTGCACTTCAACTTTACTTGCGCTTTGTGCGCGCTCCATACGTGGTTCGGAACCTGGAATATCCGGTTTTAGAGACTGTGGGACAACTTCCTGTCCTGATGGATGGGCAGTTCCTCTTGCCAGAAGAAGACGCCCTGGGGTACCTTCGTGAGCATTATCCCGCCTTGGACTTGGACGCGAAACTCTCCGGCGCCCGACGTGCGCAGGTACTGGCATTGCACGCCCTCGTACGAGAGAAGTTAGCTCCTGCCGTGGGTGCTTCTCGCTACCGGGACGAACGCAATTTTGTCCAAAATGTGCGGGCGGTCATCTTGCGTGCGACGCGCTTCCCCTTGGGCCCGGCCATCTCCACCGCCGAGCGCCGACGCGGTATGCAGGAGCAGCGGTGGCGGGGTCTGGCGGATGGGGGAATGGGTGTGGGGGAGGTCTTAACGCGTGCACAGTGCGTGTACCGGGAGCTGGACAACCTTTTGGGGGCCTCGACGGGTGATTTCTTCTTCGGGCGCGAGCCCACCAGCTTCGACGCCTGCCTTTTCGGACACTTGGCAGAGGCCCTGGCCGATGTGAACGTGCTGGTCCTTGTCTCTACCTTCGACAACCTCATGCGTTTCTTTGGACGGATTGCGGAGGATTTTTTCAACGTTGGGGCGCAAGCTGCGGCATCTGCTGCCTCTTCCTCGACCTCACTCTCGGCGTCTCTGGGTGGGCCCGTGCGAGAGCCGCAAGGCTTTTCGATCGCCTCCGACTTGAAAGAATGCTATAGACACGCGGATTACATGAACAATCGCAACCCTTTCAATCAAGTGGAGGCGGCCAAACTGTGTGCGGAAGCCCCCTTGGTTCCCGAGCCGATGGTTCAGAAGTTTCTAGAGGGAGGAGGACTCCAAGGGAGCGGCGACGCGTCAGCTGGAGGGAGAGGGGAGGCGAGGGGGCGCGCCCGGAAGCAGCGGTCCCGCGGACGCGTCGGGGAGCACGGGTACGGTGGGGGCAGGAAGAAAGCAGAAGAGCTGGAGGAGGAGCGAGAGAGGCGGAGGGAGAATGTGTTGTGGTTGACAGTGGTAGGGGGGTGTGAGCTTTTTCTTGCTTTTCCAGGGGGTGCTGGCGCTCGCGACGGGGGAAATAGAGATTGTGGAGGAAGAGGAGGTAGACGGAGAGATGGAGGAGGAATGAGTCATGTCTGGTGCACGCAGGGGGCAAGTAAAAGAACACTCGCAGGATGAAGAGAGCACACCGGCGCTTTTTCTTTCCGTCTGGACATGTACCCTACATCAGACAACGCGGACTCTTCCCTTCCAGTGTCCTCGTCCTTTCTTCGGCAGTTCGTTTTTACATACGCTAGACAGTGCCGTCGTGCCCAGTGACATCTGTGAGAAACGCCATTCCTCACGAGCCCCTTGGCCCATGTCTTCACAGTTTCGACCTTGCCCTTTGCCCCCCGCTTTGTCTTCCTTGTCCTCACCGTCGCGGTTCCCCACAGATCTGACACACTGTCCGGCGCGGGGCGTTCAAAAACGTGCAGGCCGGACACGCCCACTCGCTCAACATGTGCGAGTCGGGGGCGGTCGCGGGAGGGAGTGTCTCTGTCGTCTGGGGCACGGTCGGGGGGGGAAGGGGAATATGAGGGGCCATCCGAGAAGAACGAGGGGTGCGAGAGGGAGGCGTTCGCCCTCCTCCTCCTCCACTACCCCAGGGCACAACCATGGCAGCTGCAGGTCCGGTGGAAACGCCCGCTTGTCGATTGCGTTGCCGGGCACGGGCGGCCGGCGTGGGGCCGCAACAAGAACGCCGCAGGGCCCGCAAGCCTGACAGCAGGAGGGGTAAGGCCAGAAGGGCGATGGCGATACCCAGGATCACGCTTAGGTACCTCCATTGGAGGAGCCGGTCGAGCAGGCCCACGTTGGGGTCGCTCGCGAGGGCATCGTCGCTGAAAAAGCCGGTGCCGTTCACGTACGCGGTCCCTCCCGCCGCGTAGTACCCGTACTCCTCTATATTACTGACGCCGCACCTCCCCATGCCCCGGGCCACCAGCCCGTAGCCACCGGAGCCCCAAAATCGACCCCAGCTGTTTTTGACGATCTGGTGTTGAGGAGGAGAAGGCGAGGGTTGGTTGTGAGCGGAGACCAGGTAGTTTGCAATATACATTGCGTGGGCCATCGCGGTAAGAACGGGCTTGTATTCAGGTCCGATATCGACCTTGACTCAATTCTTAACCCAACCTTTTCAATTAGACCCCGTGATGGCCTTCGTCATAGAACATCGATCATCGAAGGCCCTGGGGAAGCACTCACCCAATAGTCCGTCCCCGTCCTCTCATCCGTGCCGTAGCCGACAATGGTCACCGCATGATTCAGATCCGACCCGCAGCTCTGCGTATAGATCCCCCCCTTGTATTGAATGAAAGCGTCGCAGGATCCATCGATGGCCACAGCCACAGGGCGGCGGGACACGATACTCAAGAGGCCATTCTCGCTGCAGGGGTCGGTCTCGTAGGCCGCTGCGATACGCGAGGCAAGCGGGTATGCGCCAGATCGACACTTGCCCTGCGATTGCGTAAATTGATAATCAGTGGTGCTAGCCAAGCCCTTTCTGACGACAAATTTAAAGGCATAGTCGAAATCACCGCCGTTACACCCCTCATTCTGCGTCACGCAGTCGATCAGCTCCTGGTTGCTCAGTTCGTTGAGGACCCCAGTCGTCACTGCTACTGCACCCTCCACGGCGGCGGTGGTCGTGAATGCCCAGCAAGCTCCGCACGCACCCTGATTTTTGACCGGCGTCACGGCCACAACACCCTCAGGGTTGAGATTGGCAGTGCGCCAATCCACCGCCGGGGGCAAAGCTCTAGGAGACAGATCTTTAGCCAATTCCGATGGAACGAAATATTCGCTTTTCTCGCCCCCCTGCTCCTTCGAATCCTCTTCCTCCGATCGGTTGTGCTTGTGGAAACCCTGAAGGCCTCGATGGCTGTCTAAATTATCGCTTGAAAGGCTGGAGGAAGAAGGGGCAGACGGGGCCTCTCGCCCTCGAGGTATAACTTTCAACCCAAAAATGGCATCATGCTCTTCAGGAAGACGGTCACTTAGCGGATTGAAACCCATATGGAACGAGGCATCGGGATGGTCCACTTTGTACTGCTCTAAGAATAGGCAAGACTTGACCCAAGCCTCGAAGCGCCGGGCTTGCTCTTGAGAATTGGCACTGTAGTCCTTGTGGAACTCTGCGCAATATGCTTCAAAACCTTTTACAGAGCAAGGGGCATCGTCCATTAGTGGCGAGGATGTACATCTGGAAGCTTTTATGAAAAGTACGACTATAGCGAAAAGAATGGGACAGTGCTTGCCCAAATTTGCTCGAAGAAAACACAATGCACGTGCCGCTCGCACGCACGGCCCTGGCAGGGCCTTCATCGTCCTTGATATAAGATTTCCGACAGTGTTGTGAAAAAATGAAAGAATACAATAAGTCGAACGGTTGCATAGTTGTTCTTTCACCAATGACAACAGGCCTTGGGGTCATCGTGTGCAAGAGAAAAAACATGATTCGGCCCATTCATGATGCTTTTTCACATCTCTCAAGCATATGTATCGGAAAGTAAAGTCGAGACGACATGAAAACATGCTGAACTAGCTGTCTATGGGATACATGACGCTCAAGCAATTATTGCGACGCTTGAAAGTCGTGGTTTCGCGTTTCTTCTCACGAGGGTTACGCAGATCCTGCCGCTTCGGCGTGACCGTTACTCCTTCAACCCATTTAACGGCTCGGGATCGACCTTGGGACAACCCGCGGGAGGTCAGGCTTGAATCCAGTCATATCCTGGAAAGTCCCAACGCCAGGGAAAAAGAGGAGCATGTGACTGTCACAAAACCCTTACATCATGGCACTGTATCATTCATATGACAGGAAATGAGCGCTGCATGAAAGAAGCCGTTTGGCGCGAAACAACCAGTGTCATAGCAGAGGAAGACGGATAATTAGTCATTGCATCGACAAATGGTCATTGCGACACGCGAGCGACGCTACAAAAATGTGAATGCGCCTAGAATTCTCTTGTAGAAGCCGCTATTAGATTACGAAATCGCGGTACGCATTGAATTGAATTTGGCTGTCAAAAATCGAAATGGCAAAAAGCGCGGTAAACTGAAAAGCTTCAGATTGTCAGAAGCAGGTTACGACGACGAAGAGCATAATACTGCGTTGGCGACATCACTCGAAATGGGAATTCAAGGTCTACTGAGCAGCTTAAAACCTGTCACAACCCCTGTGCATGTGCGAGATTTGCGAGGCCTACGCGTGGGTGTAGACGCTTATGTATGGCTGCACCGGGGTGCCTACGGCTGTGCAGCAGAGCTTTGCCAAGGAAAGCACACGACGCAGTATTTGCACGTATGCTTTCAGCGCCTTAATCTTTTGCTACGTAACGGTGTCGGTCACGTCTACATCGTCTTCGACGGAGGGCCCTTGCCTGCCAAGCAAAATACTGAACAAGAGCGCCGTGCCCGCCGAGAGGAAAGCCGTCGAAAAGCACTGCAGTTGATGGCAGAGGGTCATGCAAAGGATGCGTTTGCTTTCTTTGCGAAAGCTATAGACGTTACTCCTGTCATGGCCAAAGCGTGGGTGGACACCATCCAGGCGGCCAAACTAGCCAACGTCTCGTGTGTGGTTGCGCCGTATGAAGCGGACGCTCAGCTAGCATACATGTGCCGCACGGGCGATCTGGACGCTGTTTTCACAGAGGACTCGGATCTTCTGGCCACGGGATGTCCTCGAGTACTATTTAAACTGAACGAGTCCACAGGCATGGCGCAGCAGATTATGCATGCTGACTTGTTCAAGAGACCGATCCCAGGTCTGGGCGACCTCAGGACGTGGGCGGGAGAGTCGTTTTTGGCCATGTGCATCCTGTCAGGCTGCGACTATCTACCCAGTGTCCCTGGCTTGGGCCTGCGCTCAGCTTATCGACTAATTCAGCGACACAAAACAGCCAGTAAGGCGATTCGGGCGATGCGTTTCGAAGCCAAGCACAGGGTGCCAACTGACTACGAGACACGTTTCTTCCAGGCCCTGCAAACTTTTCGGCACCAGCGAGTTTTTGATTTGACACATCGAACACTGACGCATGTCCATCCTCTCCCTCCGGAACTTATCGC